TTAACTAATTAAGACTCCAAAGAACAAATTTTGGGGTTTTTTGAATGCAAATGCAATAAAAATAAACATGAATGCAATTTTGACCAATTGAAAGAAAAACACAAAGGTAAATGGATGATATTGAAAATATGAGATGAATATGTTGTTCGGGTTTAGAGTTCACCAATTTTCCTCTCATGGATGTATGAATTCATCTTCTTCATTAATGTTAATATCACTTTCTAAATTACTTAAAACCCGATGTCTCAGCGAAGAAAGTCTATCCTTAATTACTAGTTTACAATGTCTTGTGTCCCTAACAATTAATTCTGCATTACATACGCACAGAAGCTTAAGATAACCAAAACTCATATCCCTATGTCTAGGCAAGACTGCTTTTGGGAGCAATTATCCAGATCTAGGTTTCCCCGTATGTGTCCATATCACGAAAACCAATAATAATGCCATGAATGAGTTAAACATAACAATGCATAGAGCGAAGAAGAATAACCCTAACAATTAATGAAAGAAGCATAAATCAATCATAATCAATTCAAAATACATGAGATTTTAAGAGGTTACATCTTTCCCAACAACAAATAAGGTTTAGTTCTCTATGATCATGGAAAAACTAGATGAAAATTGGAATGAAAGAATGAAAGAGATAGAAAAACCCTAGAAAGAGAAGAGGAGAGCTGTCACATCCCCAAATCTACCCCTAAGGGGTGAAAAATGTGTTTTTATGCTCAAGCCATCAAAAGATACAATCCCTAGGACGTCCAAGTCCTTAAATAGAACAAAAAAAATATCAAAAACGGGTCCAAGCCCAACATTCTGGCGCTCAAAGCCCTGATTTAGGGCGCCCGGGCTAAACTCCGAGAAAAGTGGCGCTCAATGCCCCTAGAAGGGCACCCACGCATGGTGCGGGACTGAAACTGAGCCTCAGCCCCAGCGGTAGCATTCCAATACTCACTTTTTTTGCTGGTTTGGCTGTTTTTATAGCTGATTCAGCTCTATACAGCTCTATATATTGTTGGATATTCTTCTAGGCACATTATTAGCTACAAAATAAAGGGAATTTAGTGATAAAATCATAAAGTATAACCTCTACTCACTTATTTGCAAAACTAAAGTAAAAACATGAGTTCAAGCAAGTATTTAAGTAAAAAGGGTGCGTTTAGTATCAAAATTGAATCACAGATAATGGTATATTTAACTGTTATCACATGTCAACATTTCAAAGAAGCGAGAGCATGAATGCATTCTTCGATGGATATATTCAGTCACAAACTACTCTTCAAGAATTTGTTAAACAATATGACAATGCACTATAATAAAGACAGAAAAAGAGACCAAAGTTGACTTCATGTCCTTAAGAACAACTCTTCCATACGGGTCACAATTACTCATAGAGCGACAATTCCAAAAGCATTACTCACATGCTACGTTTGCAGAAATATAGTCATAATTTAGAGGTAAAATTAATTGTTTCGTTGATGGTGTTGTTCTATGCGAAAATTTGTCATTGTACAAGGTCATGGAGGACTCTATTCATAATGAAATAAGTCAAGAGAGGGTATTCATGTTACATTTCATCGAGACACAATGAATGTCGATTGTAATTGTTTGTTGTTTGAGTTTAAGGGCTTTGTATGTAGACATTTTTGTGTGTGTCTTGGCACAAGAGAGAGTAATAGAGCTTCGTGCTAAGTACATACTCACAAAATGGTGTAAAAATGTCCGCAAAAGGCACATGTATATTAGAGAAATATACAACATAAAAAAGAAAGATCCATATATTGAACACTATGATAACTTATGCAAGATTTTTGGTAATATTGCTGAGAGTGCTTATGAGTCAACAAAGATGACACAATTATTGGTTGACAACTTTAGATCATTTGTCAAGAAGCATGGCCTACAAATTTGACCCTCACTATACTGAACAACACCACCCACATAGTACTAGAAGACCTTCATCATAGTGACATAGGCCATGATGTAGAAAAAAGTACACATAATGCTGAAATCCAAAGCCCTAAATATGTGAAGCAAAAGGGTCGACCTAGGACAAGAAGGTTGAATTCCACTTCTGAGAGACTAACAAGGAAGAAACCATCAGTGAAAGGCACTAGTCGAACATTCATTGATATTGTTGTAAGTTATTATTTTATTTTTTCTTACTATTATCAGTTCCAATAAACATTTGGTAGTGTTAAAATTTGCAAAGTACTACAATTTAAACTAACTTCATACCGACTATTCATAAAGGAAACATTGATGAACGTACCAAATACAACATTCAGCAATAACATTGATGTCACACTAAACACACACTACACAACAACTAATTCAATTGAACTGGTAAGGTTCAATAGTTATTTCATAGTTTATTCATTTCATATTTACTAGGTCGTACATATATTTAAATGTCTTGCATTGGATGTTGTGTGATGCAGGTATCAACTTTGTCATCCCTTGCGTTAATGACAATTTTTGGTGATGTGCTTTGAAAGATATGGTGACTTCAACCAAAATGAATGACATATTTACCCAGATTGAACACAAATTTCATATTTATGTCATTCTGTTCTATAGTGTTTATACTCAGCCACTTGTATCCATGTTAACCATTTTGTTTTTGTACACAGTGACTGTCACAACTAACCACAAAATATGAATTGAATAACCACTTACTGAGGAAGAATCATACCACTTAAAATGACAACTTTGTTATTGTGCATAATACCACTACAACTAACCACATAACCTCATACATAACACTAAACTATAAGCGTGTCACATGTTCAATGAAATGCACAAACAAAGTGTACCGCACCCATGTATTCTACACGTATAACCAACGACAATGCTCACATCATTCTAATACAATAAGAACATTTTCATTATGTTTTATTAACCAATCACCATTCATTTACAAACTTAGTGTCATGGTACACACACCATACGAACCATATTAAACTCAACATATAATGTGATTCATACCAAATTTGATAGCTCAAATTCCAAATCTGTCTAGCATCTATTTACTCCAATAATTTAGTGCTTTGACATGTTAAATATGCCTTTTTGCTACATTGATTCCAGGTGTTAATTTAGATTATTATCCCAACTCTTCAAGGTTCAACCATGGGTAACACAAAAAATGTCCTTCGCTTCACTATTGTTTTCAATATTTTTCAAAGCTAGTTTTGATTTTTCCACTCTCATCACAAATTATAAAAGCTATAGGGATGGTGACAGAAACAACATGGGTAGGAGCTGCTTACAACCTAATGCTTTATATGTTCGCTAGCCATGTAAGTAGCTTAAATTAAGACTACTTTTCTTGATTGCTCATGCAATTGAAGTTATTCCTTATGCTATTATGTTCATTACAAAAAAGTAAGTCTCGCGTTAAGAGAAAAAAGTTAATACAAATAAAAAAAAAACTACAGTGGTTTATATTTCATCACATGTCAACATTATGCAAACCTCTTTTATTATCTTGGTTTTTGAATGAAAAATATTCCAAAAATATTTTAGGGGCTTGCTGGTATCTTCTGTCAATCGAGCAACAAGAAGCATGTTGGAGAAGTGTATGTGATTTGGAGAGTCATTTTGTGAATATGGATTCTTTGACTACCACAGGGTTAAAGATACCCATACGGTCTCTTGGTTTTTATCAAGTAATATCACAAATTTATGCTCACCAAATGCAAAAGATGAATTCTATCACTTTGGTATATACGTTTTGAAGTTACATCCTCAACATTCTTCAACAAGTACTTCTTCTACCTGTGATGGGGTCTAAGGAATTTGAGGTAATTGTTATGCGGTCGTTCTACCTTATCATCATCTTTTACACCCTAGTCAAGCTTCTAACAATTATGTCACCCTTTGCTCTCTTCAAAACAATTTAATTTTAATCCTAATTGAATAATCACGGTTCATTCAAAATATGCCAAAAGTGCAACTCGTCTATTTTATTTCTTTTCATCTTATTGAACAAAGGATAATGTGATCCATATCCTCTGATCCTCTTCCCAAGCAAATGGAATAAATTCTGCATGACTTACTAAAGCTCTTTTACTCACATCATTCTAACACAATCAAGACATTGCCATTATGTTTTATTAACCAATCACCATTCATTTACAAACTTAGTGTCATGGTACACACATCATATGAACCATACCAAAAACATAATGTGATTCATACCAAATTTGATAGCTTAAATTCCAAATTTGTCCAACATCTATTTACTCCAACAATTTAGTAAACCATTTAATCATTTTAATTCAAACATCAAGTTATTTACTGATCTCCTTAATATGCACCACATGCTTTCAATTTTAAAGAGGTATTACTTACTTAATATCTAAACCTTATTTTATTTTATTCTTATTTAAACTTTGTGTCTTCCATTTCTCATGTTTAAACATTAACTCAACGACAAATAGATTAATCATGGCTCATTCTATGTTGAAAAAATAGATTTCAGAATTAAATTAGACCAAGACAAGGCTTGACACTTTGAAACGTGATCAAGAGAGAAAGTTATATGGTAGCACCAAGTAACATTAAGAACTCTATACTTACGGAAGGCATGCGGCTTTTACAAGCTAAAAGCATTACTGCACAAGAAGAAAATTCATGGATTATAAGTTTTAATATGGGTTTGTAAACCATTCTTATCTCACCTAAACATTTCATCAAACACATTCTATACACTCTCATTTCATAACAATCATCAACATTTATATTCAATCTCATTACTTTTTATGAAATGAAGTAGGACAGATGACACAAAATTGGAAAATGGAAGTGCGAAATTCCCTAACAAAGTCAACAAGAAAAAAGCACAAAAAGAGAGACAATAATATTGACTAAGCTACATCCCAATATTACACTCACACTAATAAAATTAATGAAGTTAGTAGTCTACATTTGAATTTGTTCTGCCACAATCTATCAGTTTGAGTTTTTATATCAACTTAAAGGCAACAGTTCAGAGATGCTAACGAACCCTACAATGAATGAAATGCGTAATTCTTTTATTTCAATCAGTAAACGAAGTATGCAATACATAAGATCTGCAGAGCTTTAAGAAAAAATAAAGAAAAAAAGTGTATGTGCAAGGAAAACCAAAATGCTGGCTCCAATTTACAGAACGAGTGTGAAGAAACGGTCCCATTAACTCAAAAAGCAATTGGGACAACATCTTATTAAAAAACCACCCTCCCTTTTCATTGTCTTCCTTTGCCTGGCTTCTCTGTATCCTTCCAAAGCTTCTTTCTGCATAGGAAGGCCTTCTCTTGTTTCTGTGCTATTCTATTGATGGCCGAAAGTCTCAACATTTTGGAAGATCATTTGGTGGGGGTATCAATGATTCATTAGGACCTTTTCCATTGTCCACCAAGAATGCCATCTTTAACCCCCATGTTGTATGCACCTCGAAATGGCAGTGCAAGAACCACACTCCTGTCAAATATACGAAACTAGTTCAAGTTAATATGAACATATTAGCACTGCATGCTTTTGACATCATTATACTCAAATATTCATCAAGACTTTTTACCTGGATTATCTGCTCTGAATCTGAAAGCAACCCATCCTCCAGTTGGCACTCCAATTGTGTTCCTCTCAACAGGATCTACAAGGTTAAAGTTACTTGCATCTGTTTTGGGATCATAGTTTCCTACACCTGAGCCAACAACAAAGAAATTGAACCCATGAAGATGAATTGGGTGGCTCTCGGGAGCAATGACTCCAGTATCCTGCAAAACAACCTGAACTGTCGAGTTGAATGGTAGCCTGTAAACCTTTGTGCCATTTGTGGTCTGGGAACTCGCAGCCGCCGGAGTCGCTGTGTAGTTGTAAACTTGAGGAGGGTTTCCAGGGAAATCAGTGGTGAACACCCCCTGAGTGTTGAAGTAATGTGCTTGAAGCAATGCAGTAGTTGGCATCACAAATGTCACATTATTGACAGCAGCCACCACTCTACTCCCATTTCCAGCTTTGCAAGATGGACAAGGGTTAATCCCCAATCCAACAGTGAAGAGAAGTGAGTGATCAACTGTTAATGGAACATTTGCAGGGTATTTCTTGGAATTAAGGCTTTTTAGAGCCTTGGTGAAATTGTTAGCAACTTGTGTGGCATTTCTTGGAGGAGGTGTGATGAGAACTGTAGGAGTGGTGGCAAGAGTTCCAGTATAGTGCAAAGTGGCTGTAGCAGTCAAATTATCCACAGCTACCACTGGAGAATCCATGAAAGTAGAGGCTACAATTGTGTATTTACCAGAATTTTGGTCAGTGGTTAAAAGGGCATTGGTGGTTTGGCCAGGGGCCACTAAAAGAGTGTCAGTCTTGAAAGGTTTTACATATGAGGCATCAACTTCAACCACAGTGAGTAAATGGCCAGCAATTTTGAAAAAAAGCTCCTCATTGAGTGCAGCGTTGATGATTCTCAATAGGTAGGTCTTGCCACTTTCCACCGGAAGCTTGTACACATCTGCTTATATTTTATATTCAACCAAGAAGGGAAATCAAGCATAACTGTAGTTAGCACTTGAGGAAAAATGAAAACCATATATACACTTAAGAAATCATAGAAGTGAAAAGTAGCACAACTTATGTACCCTGTGTGGAACAATTGGCCACAGACACAGTCCCTGGAAGTCCATTAATGGTGTGAGCATCTGAGACATTTGGTGCTAATCCTGACTTGAGAGCTTCATTGATAACATCTTCGGTATCAGATTTCCACCATTCTCCTACAGTTTATCACCATAATGAATTATAATTTTAAATGGTTATGTTGAGGACTAATCAACATCAGTGAAGGAAAATATAGATGAGTGGAGGGCATTGGATAAAGATTTTGATTTCACCTAATATTACCACCAACTCTTTATCTGGTTTGGGGAAAGGGTATGGCACACCAAGCTTTGGCAAGATAACTATGGCACCATGGAGAGTTGACCTTAGCCAATTAACATGAGCGTGCCATAGAAGTGTTCCTCTTTGTCCTGTAAGGGTGAAGTTGTACACATATGACTGTCCTGGAAGAATTGGGCATTGTGTGATATATGCAGGCCCATCAGCCCAACCAGTTCTTATTTGTCTCACACCATGCCTGCCCAGATGGTTACAGTCTTCCAGTTAGCATTCAATATTTTGCTTAGTATTGGCTAAAGTTAATTTGTATATTTATTATGATGATACTCTCAAATCATAAGTTTAGTGAATAGTATAGAAGACTGTCTATTAGTGTTAAGTTTAGAGAGACTCTCTATCATATGTTATAAATGGTGATTAAACTTAATTATCTAAAGGTTTTCTGTTATTCCATTTTTTAGGTTCTATACATGAAGAACCATACGTGTATGACATTGTATCTATATAAAATCTTCATCCAATTGAATATAGTTTCTTTTTTTCAATCTTATCATTGTGTTTTCTTTGTTCTGATTGTATCTAACCCATGCCGACATTTACCATAAAGTTTTTTTCTATTTTTTTTTTCTGCACAGTACTTCTTGCGTCTAAATTGAAGCAATAAAATGAAGTCTCACCAATGGATAGTGACATTGTGGTTGACAAGGTTTCTTACTTTGACCAGCACTGTATCATCTTCCCTGGCATAAAGAGTGGGTCCTGGGAACTTCCCATTAACGGTGACAATGGGTTTGCTTGAACATAGTCTAGTGGTATTCTTCAGCACCACCTGCACCCATTACCAAAGTAAAGTATAAGTCCTTCACCACTTGCCTTGAGTAAAATTTTACAGTGGTTGGAACAAGAGACTAATTTAGATCTATATCTTCCAATTATGTATTATACATGCATGACTGAAATTTAGGTGAAACTTTTAGCTAAGATTTACTCAGATATCAATTTATGCACATATCTAATAGGTGGAATTTAGATAGGAGCTTGTTATAAGTAAAGCTATATATTTTGATTGAAATAGCTGAATAAAGCATAAATTGTATGCATGTTTGAATATATATTATATTGTTGTTAAGCTCCTGCACTGTAAAAAAACATGAAACCATGCATGTCCCCTACGAGGCAAGGAAAGAATACTGTAATGGCATACTTACATTGAATTTGTAGTGCCTCACTTTGCAGTCAACCAAAGGAGGAACAATGCAAGCAATGAAAATCAAAATTCTAACCCAAGAGTCCATTTTGTCCAGTCTTCACAGCCCTAGCTCCTGACTCTTGCGTTAAATAACTTATATTTGTCTTATAACTTATTATGTGCTTAAGTGCATTCATGCCTGACTTTCTAAGGCACCCTTATATAGGCTGAAATTGCTTCCTCCTGGTTCTTCTTGTTTGGTTTTTAGGTGAATGATGGAGGCATATACTTGGAAACTAAGGCTTGGCTCAGGGGGAAAGAGAAAGGAGAAAATCATGTTAACACATTATTTCTTGCATGTCACATAAAGTTTTGCAATGGAAATCCTTGTATGTTCTTCTGGAAGCTTTTTCTGATAAATACAGCTCCTGGATTGATTGGTTATATTCTGAGGTTCAAATATTTTTTTTTCCCTTTTGTCCCATTAATTAATAAATGTTAAGCTAAAAAGTTGTTAACCAATTACTATACAGAAAGCTTGTTACTCTCGCAAAACCATTCGTCATTTTGGGCTGAATACCAAGCCTTGTATATCTGCAGCTGCACGCTGAATCCTGGAGTTATGCAGAGTTTAACAGAAAGGTTTTTTATTCTTTTATTTGGTGAACTATAACTAGCATTGAGTGATATTAGAATTGTAATACAACTTTTTGAATAATTTATAATTTATTGAGAATAATATGCGTATATTTTTAGTTAAGATTATTGATTAAACTTGTATTGTTTATTGTATTTTGACTTTTCAATTCTTATACCTTATTCTAATTTCTTTATGTGACATAATTTGCTAATACAATGCAATTACTCATTAATACCATTAGTTGCTTCTGTTCACTCCTAATTTAAGTTTCAATATTAATTCATTACCACAAAAAATTATTTTTGTTATTTTTTATGTAAGAGGAAACTCTGACGTCATGTATGGAGACATCAAATTGAAAAACAGACATTCGGTTTGAAAGTCCGACCTCTTTTAACAACGGTTACCAAAACACATTAACATTCAATTAACATCATTTTAAATTAAAATTAAGTAACAATTTGATGTTTGTTAGCACACTAAACCTTAAATACTAATTTTTAAAATTGTTTATATTTATAATTTGCTCTAACTTGAAAAGTAAAAAATATTTCAGCATAACTTAGACAATTTACCAGCAGAAATTATATATAAAAACTAAAGTCATTAACAAAAAAATGTAACCACGTTAACACTAAAGCTATCAAAACTAAAACTATTAAGACAAAACTAAAACTTTAATAATCAAAATCTTGTCCTAGACAGTTTTCAAGCAAAGCCCTAATGTTGTTGTGGGTCCTAACTACATCGTTGGAGTAGATATGTTGTTCACTCTTGTCTTATTTTCTTCATAGTATCATCCATTATAGGTGATAGATTCTTGAACTATAGAAAAAAATAACACAACTTCATTATGTATGAATAATAATATTTAAAGTTTAATGTGATTTGAAATATATATATATATATATATATATATATATATATATATATATATGATGGGAAAAATAAATTGAAAAAATATATTGACCAAAAATAAAATTTATTATATAAATATAAACGTATTTTATTTTAAATTAATGTTTTATTTTATTTT